GCGAAATTGATGTTGATCTGTGTTGTTGTGTTGGCCTCTGTGAAAGAGTGCGCACACGCACAGACCGACATGTGAGGTGTGAGTGTTTAGTGAGAATGGTGTGTTGTTATGATGGTGACGATTGGTGAGTTGTGAGTGGGTGAGATGTGTGATTGTGGTTGATGAGTAAGTTGTTTGATGGTGTTGTGTTGGTAGTCTGTTTATGGATTGTGTAGTGTAATGTTGTGTGTGTGTGATGTGGAGAGTAGTGAGGTTCGTGTGATGTTAGCGCTCTGTCCTACTATATGGATGCGAAACATGGCCGGTAAGAGTAGAAGACATTGGTAAGTTATTGGTATTCGATTGTAGATGTCTTGGGAGCATTGCTGGTATATCGTGGGACGACCGAGTAAGCAATGCTATAGTTAGAAATGGAGTACTAGATAGGGATGGCAGGTGAATAGATGAAGTATTGTAACTTGATTAGTTGAGGTGGTTGGGACATGGGTTATGTATGGCCATTGGCGGACTGCCTCGTCGCGCTATGTTTTGTGGTGTAGGAGTGGGTTGGAAGAAACTAGATATTATATATATATCCCAGAACTTGTAAAATGAATCCATTTGCTGATGATCATCAAATGGCCTTCACTTCTGGCCAATTCTGTTTGGCTTTTTATAACACAACAGAATTGATTTGAAGTTAACTGTAAACATCTCATGTAATAGACTTTTAAATATTTACTTTTAATAGATTTCAAATTTAACTGTTTTTAATTATTTCATATGAAAGTGAATCTTCTAGATTAATTATGGACGTAATTGATTTTCTTTCTGTGATTTAAACTTGCATGATTCAACTTCACAATACAGAGAATATTAGAGTCAAAAGCAAGAAAGTACACGCGATATCAAGTCGTTTAGATCACATTGAGGCTTGATTGGTAGATTTCAACCATCATCCAAAACAACTGAACGATAACTGATTGCTTAATAAGTAACCTGAAATTACACGATGGCTATTTCATCATAGTAAGGAGGATGTTCAGTATTTTGCCATTACGTAAATTATCAATTGATATTAAAATAGAAAACTGGTAGTGACAAGATGTGTGCATGCTATCAAGGTTCAATATTTCTACTGAATAACTCAAAAAAAAATTCGAAAACAAACAACATGACATGCTTTAAAATGTAATAATGATACACTGTCTGAGGAGATAGACACATTGGATGGAATGAGCAATTTATTTGAAGAAGAAAGTTTATTAGCCACCTTATCATAAACACATCCACCTGTAAAATAAGCATATTCTTGACTGTCTTTTCTTCATGCACCCGCCATGCATGCAGATCAAACACTTTTCATTTCATCCGTAAATTCAGGGCGACTTTCTGCTACATATTTGTTGCATGCTACTTATAATCTTTATAGTAAGTAGTACAAACTATATCCCAACTGATTATAGTAAGAAAAATATCATCCAGTTATGAGAGAAAATATAGAACTGAATAAATATTATTTTCTGTGTGTTTCATTTAAAATTATCTTATTTCAATCGGATTATTATTTTTTCAAATATCATATGATTAAAATTAAAATTTAACTTGAAATAGACATATTTAGTTGAAAAAAAGATCACAACCAAAAAAGCTGAATACTGCATTGCATTAAATTTGGAACTAAAATGTGAAATAGTCACAATTCGAATTAAGTCCGATTTGTAACGATTAATAATAAACAATTTTAGTATGTATCGATCTATCCACACATCTATCTATCTATCTATCTATCTATCTATCTATCTATCTATCTATCCACACATCTATCTATCCACACAACTATCTATCTATCTAACTATATATATATATATATGTTTTTGTTGTCCAACCTGCGTCGAATGTGTTTCACTGATTTTAAGTACCACCAAGTTGTATCTTTCATTTCTGCAGCAACTTGGATAAGTCTCCTTGTCTACCACAATCTTCGAACATCCTATGTACCTAAGTTAATGGTTGGTACGATTGTGAGAGGGAGACATCGGTCTTGTAACTTCCACCTCATCATTTGAGATGGTTGGGATATCTGTTACGTTTGCCTAATCGCCGACTGCAATGTTGTCTGATGTAGGGGTAGGTTTGAAGAAATTTAAAGACAACCAAACCACACCATGGCATAAATCTATGAATAACTGACAACTGGATTGAGTTATATTGGTAGTTGTAGACTACCTGGTTGGGGTCTACGAGGTGATAGTAACCGATTGTTAGAGACCTTGAATGACATAGATCAAAACGGCTTGCAATGGCGTAGGTTTATCTGTAGTGCCTCCGCATAAATTTGAGTTCGCTTATATTTAACGTGGTTAAGCCTTTCGATTAACTTATTTAACCAAGCCATTTGTTATAAACAATAACTTATATGTACCATTGGCTTTTATTATTGTGTGGTTTGTATGAGCTGGTATGACTGTGCATTGCTTAACGCCTGCCTACGCGCATATGCATCCTATTCGCTTTAATGCTGATCTCTTAAATATCACGATGACTCAGACATTTTACTGTGCATATATACGAACATTTTAATCTTAATAATTCATTGACCCATTCATCAAATCACCGACTGCTCTGTATGTTTTTCGTCTGCTTGTTGGCTTTGCAGGGTGCGAAAATAGACGTATTCAACAGTTCGTATTTGCCTTCTGATTATTTCAACCGTCAGGCTCTGTTTGGTGACAGTTGCCCAGACAAGCGAATTACGAAGCTTAAGAACACGTTGAATATCAACCTTAACGAGGCTAGTAATACATTGGCCACCACATATACATTCTTTGTCTTTTATCAAATTCTTATTTCCTGTGTTCCTCATTCCCTCTATTTTTCTCTTTCTAAATTTATTTCACTGAATTATACTTCTTAGATCATATCTTCGAACCCTAATCTTCTTCATTTAACGCTAATATTTTCACTATCTTTACCACTATAGGATTTGAACCGATAATTGCTTACGTACGAAGTTGTACGTTGTAACTGACTGACTGACTTCTGAAAAACCTCGGCTTTCATCATGAGGTGTCATAACTCTTCTAAATGAAGACCTTCTAACTTCTAGTGTAGAGTTTAAATGGTTTGAATTAATTTTTCTGGCTAGCGGGTTTTTAAACGAGTTGTTAACTCAATGCCGAACCATCCTTCTTTAGTGGCCATGGTGTGGTGCGCGCTACTTATAAGTAGTATATGACGTAATGTCTGGCAGCAAAAGATGGGGGAAGATCAAGAGAAAGGAAGATTTAGAACACAATGGAATTTGTATGAAACGCATGAATAGTGACAATGGATTGATGTTTCGCAACAGGAACAGTCCAGTTCGATATGATGGATTGATATTTTGCAAATTAACGATTTACGATATGGTTTTTCTATTTTACTGAGCAACTCTGTAATTTTCGATAAATACAATTCGGTTGCCCTCACCTGTGTTCTCCTTCACTACAATGGGACCGGCAGTAGCCCCAGAGGGCCTCTAAGCAGAGTTATGTGACATTCCTAGAATATGTTTAGATTGTACAAATACCTGTATAGTCAAAACAACTAATCGATACAATTTATCGTAATAGTAATAACATTTGAACAGACTTTGTTATTGTAGCAAATAATTCATGGCAAATTATGAAACAAACAAACAAACAAACTCTTACATCAAATTAATAGTAATGTGGTGCGAGCTACTTATAAGTAGTATATGACGTGAGTGTAAACGTAATGTCTGGCAGCAGAAGATGGAGGAAGATCAAGAGAAAGGAAGAAGAGTGGGAACACAATGGAATTTGTATGAAACGCATGAATAGTGACAATGGATTGATGTTGTTTGCAACAGGAACAGTCCAGTCTGATATGATGGACTGATATTTTGCAAATGAACGATTTACGATATGGTTTTCCGATTTTACTGAGTAACTCTGTAATTTTCGTTAAAAACAATCCGGTTGCCCCACCTGCGTACATTGACTTGCAAACATATCGGCTCTTTTCAGTCAACAAGACATTCAATGAAGAAAGTCATTTATAACCCTACCGTATGGATATTTTTGAAATTCTGTCATCTTTTATATATATTACTGAAATTGTGAATGAAATGAATGAGTAACGAACGATTAGCAGCTATTGTACCTTAGATGTATAGTTTATAATTAAACATTTATATTTACTGTTACTTATTCATCCTGATGACAGCCTCTACAAGACAACCTACGCTATTCTTGATCATACTACTAGAATGATCATAATACACAGCTTGACTGATAAAACGTGTATACTGAAAAAAAACGAGTAGGCAACCATAAATCGATTCATCCTTAATAATTGATCTATTCATTGTGTAATGCAGTCGATCGATAAAACAAATATGTTACTGTATAGTGGAGGCGCGAAATGATTATGTAATCACTGTTTAATCAGACCTCTGATCAATACAATTACATTGATGAGTATACTGTTCTTTTTTTAATGTGTAAAAACACAAAACCTCCAAAACTCTGCCCGAAAATATCGTAACAGTGCTCACTAGTGACTAGTTAGTTTCGTGAGGACATTTTCGCAGTTCTAGTTGAAAAGACGTGACTAATGGAGTTCAACCCTGTCGGGTGTAGGCAGTAACTACAGAAGACAAATGGGTGAGGTCGCGCAAAAATCCCTAGATCAATCAGAGTTAGACATTAACACCGTTGGATGCCGGCCGGCCCAGTGGTCCGATGGTTAGGCGTTCGCACACAGTACCGAAGGTCCAGGGTTCGAATCCTTTGAAGTGCAGGAGTCGTGGATGCGCACTGCCACTGATAAGTCCCATACCAGGACGAAACGGCCGTCTTTCTGTGCTTCCAGGTTTCCAATGGTGGTCTAACAATGATTGATTGATGATTTCAAATGTGTAAAAACACAAAACCTCCAAAACTGCTCGAAAATTAGAAATAATCAATAAACATCAGTTGTTTTTTTGAATGTTAGAAATTTTTAGAAATTTTCAGAGGATATTTTTATTAGGATAACAATATTTAAACAGTTTCATTGAAAAAGTAAAAAGTAACACGCTTTCATTCATTCATTCAATGTATGGTTTCTTTTGATAAAAACTGTTGAACAATTGTAGGAATTAGGGAAAAGAACTCGACCAAAATCATGTTCACTTCTTTTTCCAAACTAGAACTTGATAGTCTTGCACTGAGTGTTCTTTACCACCCCATGGTAAATATGCACATTGATGACCATGATGTACCTGAATGATAGGAAAAAAAAGCAATTACAATCAAATAAGTGAATAAGGTTTTATTTATATCGAAAATAAACTCTTAATAGACAGACAGGATTTGATTTTGACCAATTCGGTCTCATGTGCTGTTACGGGTATGAGGGAGGTTGTCACTTCCCGGCTGCCCATACCGTGGAAGGTTGTTTCTTGAAGAACCTGAAAAGGAAGATATATTAGCGTTGGTCTTAACGACCTGGGTGCGTGACCGCAGAGCCCAAAGGGACAACTGCTTGAGGCCGGTTACGCATGGCCTTTTTATGAAAGGTTTTTTCAGTATTAGCTCCGCTTTTAAAAGCCCTTAAACTCTTAACAAAATGAATTGGGATAGATTATTGATTATAACCTTGGTTAGATCAGTAGAAAACTAGGAAACAATGAATAGCTATTTCTTCCTATCATTGAACTTCTCCGTAGTATGCATCTGGGATACCATGAAGGATCGAGAATGTCAGGCAGTCCCAAAACTGTTCTTCATAAAGTTTCTAGAGGCTCAAAAATGCAAGGAAACTGTTCATCCAATCAGTATTGAATATAACAGTCACAGAAACATCTGGATTGGGTATTTATTTATCCTGGTTCTGGGGCCTTCTAGAAACCCTCATTTTCCTGTACAGGGGATAACCTTGGAATAAACATTTCTTTCATTACTTCGTGCCTTTTCTCTTATGTTCAAGTTGCAGTGTATATTTTATCTAAGGTTATTAGAAGCAGATAGGAAATCAAATCTTGCATTTATTTGGCATAATTACTACAGTAAGGGATGGGTATATTCAGGTCTCTTTGTTGATGCTAAATCATAAGACTACTGTACTGGTGTGGTGTGAGCTACTTATAAGTAGTATATGACGTGAGTGTCAACGTAATGTCTGGCAGCAGAAGATGGGGGAAGATCAACAAGAAAGGAAGAGTTCGAAAACAATGGAATTTGTATGAAACGCATGAATAGTGACAATGGATTGATGTTATGCAACAGGAACAGTCCAGTTCGATATGATGAACTGATATTTTGCAAATTAACGATTTACGATATGGTTTTCCGATTTTACCTGTTGTTCTTCGCCCAAGTTATAGGTAAAATGAAAATCATTAATTACAATGAATTCCAACTTAGTGGTATCAAGATCAGACCAATAAACGGAAAAAAAATTGTTCAAAATGTTCAACACCTTTATTGAAAATATAACATCTAGAACAAAGTTTTGTAAAATGTTTAGTTATTATTTATAGACTGAACAATTTGTTAGGTGTATGAATAACTAACTGTTCAATAAAATAAGTGTTATATTCCCTAGATTAGAATATTTATATACTTGAACTATTACCAGTTCACTTAACTCGGTAAACAGAACGAAGTTCAATGATTTCGCAACACGATAGGCGACTCTAATCAAATCATAGCCGGCTCCACTAACTAGAGGAAGAAGTCTTGATAAGACGTAGAAAAATGTATTCCACAGGCATCCAGAAAGTACGAAGTCGACAGGCACACAACTCAAGCTTATTTATACAATGATAGCAACGCCCTTGGTGAGAACCATACAATAGCGTACTAAAATAATTCATCAACCAATGATAGTCAAGGATTTTCTGAATGGGAAAGGTAATTGTGTTGGGGATGTTAGATCCCCAAAATTCGCTTGATAAATGCCTTATTTTTGTTTTCACTTTTGCCAGCATGGGCTGATCAGTTGACCTTGAGATTTCAATTCCCACCAGGGAAATCCATGGTTGTGACTGGTTGCTGTGTATTTTAGTGTGCTATTTTATTAACTGTCTCAAGGACGTTTCTATGATGTATAAATAAACGAGAGTTTTGTGCTTGATTGAACTGTGATTGCTGGGTGTTTGTATAATATACTTTCTACGCTTACAAAGACTTTTTACTTCAGCCTGGGGATTCAAGGTAGCCTACCTGGAAGCTGGTAAACTCGTAATAGCCTCAAGCATACTAAGTGACCAACCCTACAAATTGAAGCTCAAAATAACATAGAAATTCAAAATTTCCGAAATGAATTACAAAATCAGGACCTTTCCTAAATAAGTTCTGGGGATCTAACGTCGTCAACAGTTATTTCAATTCCTAAACGTCATCATTATATTTGTTACAACAGAAATACATTCATCGATCGAGATAGTGGCAATTTACGAAAGACAAAATAATGTCATTAACACCTATATAATGGCTCCAAGAGATAAGTTTGTAAGGATTTAGAGATGAGGCAGTTTTCATTGTGTTATTTGACATAGGAGATAGTAAATCGCCTATAGATTAGTGTGTTCTTTTTTTCCGAGTGTTTGCGAAGCTATTCATCTGTGATCGGATTTATTTAGTGCACAATATATATTTAAGATCCTGGGTTGGAATCCTGCGATTTGCAGGAGTTGTAGGTGCACACTACTGATAAGTCCCAGACCAGAACGAAACGGCCAACCAGTGCTTACAAGTTTCTAATGGTAGTCTAACAATGATTTACTCAGGTAAAACTACCATCTCCATAACACTCTAAATGAATAAATCTAACTTTTTGTTAGTGGGGCATAGATGAAATAAAGCATGACTGTGTTAGCTGCGCGCTGATTGGCTGATTTCCTATCCAATCAGCTTCTGGACCATACTTGGAGAACAGGCTAGAAAATTCTCGTGTTGTTAGCTGCATTCTGATTGGCCAAATCTAATCCAGTCAGTGCTAGTCAATCACGTGAATTACATTCTAGAAGCTTTGATTTTTTGGAACTTGTCCAGTGAACTGTGTGGTCAGCGAATATTAAACAATAGGAATTAGCTGGGAACTATTAAAAGCAAGCGTTACAACACTTTTCAAATCCAAAAAAACACATGAGAATCTACTACTCAGTGTGTCTTGTTTTAATTCGTCTATCGATTCAAAAATAAAACAGAATATAATAATAATCAGACATACAATTGAATCTACTCACTTTTCCAACGCATGGTTCACCGTTAATACTACCTTTAGCTATATACAATGGTTCATTGTCTACCAGTCCAGCAACAATTGCATTCTTCGGTACATTACCACATGATGCATGTTCCCATTCATATCTATTTTATACACACACACAGAATGAGAATATAATCAATAAACAGTGTTCATATTTCAATTATATTTGAAACTAAATTGAATTATTTATAAAAAACAATTAGTCCGTTTTATAAAATTTTGACAGTGAACAGTGAGAAGAAAAATGCTGTGATGTATTTGCGCGTTATACACATTTCGAACAATCTGGTCACACATATTTGCACTTGTCAAGGCATTTTAGATGAAGATGAATAAAAGGTCAATTAAATAAAAGTTCAAATAGACATAAGGTGATGATAGTTGTAAATAAAGGAGAGAGAAAATGTGTAACTTAACGATCTTCACAACCCCGTAATGCAAATTACCTGTGCTCAGTAGTGACTAGCTTCGTGAGGAATCTTCTCTGAGTTCTAGTGGGAAGACGTGACCAGTGAAGTTCAACCTGTTCGGTTGTAGGCAGTGTCTACCGAAGACTGTATATGAGGTTGCGCAACTCCGTGAATTTGATCAAGTTAGACATTAACACCTTTAGACACCGGCTCAGTGGTCTAACGGTTAGGGAGTTCGCGCACAATACCGAAGGTCCTGGGTTGGAATCCTGCGGGTTGCAGGAGTCGTGGATGTGCACTGCTGAGGAGTAGTCCCATACCAGGACGAAACGGCCGTCATTCAGTGCTTCGAGGTTTCTAATTGTGGTCTAACATTGATCGATTCATGGTTTCAAACAATGTGTAACTTAACAATCTTTACAACCCCGTAATATGAAAAGAATAAGAAGGGGTAGGAAAATTGTCACATTACCCTATACTTAAAGATTACCAAGGTAAATTCGAGTTTATGACAAATTGTTTCTGCACACATAAGGGGGGTTTTAATTTACAAATAGCCAAGGCCTCCATTAAAAACCTCAAAATTTGTCCTTGAACATTTCTATACAATGTTTTGAAGGCTGTCTTGGTGTCAATCTTATGCCCTGTCTCAATTATGTGTTTTGTGATCAATGAACATGGTTCTCTATTTCCAACGTTAATCGGTTCATCTGACGTTAACTGATTTTGAAGCCACTTAGGTACATGTTCCATAACCCTTGATTGCAAAGTCCGATTTCTCCTCCCTATGTATGTGTGTCTACACAAAAACATGTAAACTGATAAATGCAATGGGATGTGATGTAATCATTCGAGCAGGCTGAATTCCATAAGGAAAGGCGGCGTATCAACCAAACTGTAACACTATGAATCACTGTGGAAAAATCTTTTGAATAGAACTCATCAATGCATTAACTTCATTGATTACGAGAAAGAATTCAACAGCGCGGACAGGATGACACTATGGAGGCTTCTTCAACGCTACGGCATACGGAATGTTTATAATGGATTAAACTGCAACATCCTCCTCGGAGGACGCCTCACATGTTCGTCCCAAATGAAGGCAGGTGTCAGGCCAGGTGGCTTACTCTCACCCTTCCCCTTTCTCCTGGTGGTTCACTAGATTGTGAAGACTTTAAAATCTCAGGGAAAGCACAGGTTGCAATGGACTACTAGAATGCAGTTGGATGATTTGGACTTTGTATATGATCTAGCCCTTATGTCCCACACACAACGAATCGTTCAGGAGAAAACGATCAATGTGGAAGCAGACTGTGCAGCAGTAGGTCTCAACATACACAAAGGAAGCAACAAGATCCTGTGATACAAAACAACATGCACCAATCAAATTACACTTGATGGAGGAGCTTTCAAGGATGTATCTTGGTAGACTCATTGATGAGCAAGGTGGATCAGATTCAGATGTTAAGATATGGATTGGTAAAGCAAGAGCAGCATTTCTACAATTGAAGAGTATCCCGAACTCTAAACAACTATCAGCCAACACCAAAATCAAAATTTTTGAAACAAATGTCAAAACAATCCTACTGCATGGGCTGAAAATTCGGAGAACTACGAGATGTAAGTGTTTATTAACAGTTGTATACGCAAGATGCTTCGGATCTGTTGGCCAGATATCGTCAGCAACAACGTACTGTTTCCGACAACATACCAACTTTCTTCAGCTGAACAAGAGATTAAGAAAGAGAGCTGAAGGTAGATATGATATACATTTCAGAAAGCACACAACTGCATTACGAGGCAAGCCCTAGCTTGGAACCTTCCGGGTCAAAGGAAAACATGTAGACGAAGGAACACACTGAGCTGAGAATTGGAAGCAGACATTAAAAGAATGAACAGAGATTGTTTAGAACTGGAAAAGAAGGTTCAAGATAGTATAAGTTGGAGAAAGTTGATTGGCCGCCTATGCTGTATGAGAGGTAACAGGCACAATTAGTTCAAAAATCTTTTGATCTTTCAAATATAGTAAATCTAGTAATAAATGAAACTTTAATTTATTGATTTTTACTTTCATTCGATTGATTGTCTCAATTTCCACACCTGATTGATTGAGGAGTGATTGATTCATCAAGTATCAATTCAAACAAGTTACATGTGTGATGAGTCATCGGTGCACTTTGAGTCAGTTGTCCGTTATTTTTTGTTTTCATGTCTCTTTCACATACACACACACACACACTCATAATTTAGAACACACTGAATCATGCTGATAACTTGTACTTTTCGATTGAATTCAAATTTACAAGGTGTTAGATATTTGATCAGTTTATTAATTTTAACAGATTTCAGTCAAGTTAATCTACCAATCATTGTGATTTTAGTCTGAGTATTATTTAGTTATTCTACGGAATTTAGCCAATGTTTTGATACAATTAAACTAATCTAGGTAAATAATAAGTTTTCAAATAGAGTTACGGATATTAGTGTTTTTACACATTTGAAATCATCAATCAATCATTGTTAGACCATCATTAGAAACCTGGGAGCACTGAAGGACGGCCGTTTCGTTCTGGTATGGGACTCATTAGCGGCAGTGCGCATGCACGACTCCTGAACCTCACATGATTCGAACCCAGGACCTTCGGTATTGTGCGCAAATGCCTAACCATTCGACCACTAGGCCGGCAACCAACAATGTTAGTGTCTAACTCTGATTAATATAGAGATTTTGCACGACCTCACCCATTTGTCTTCGGTGGTTACTGCCTATACCCGACAGGGTTGAACTCCACTGGTCACGTCTTCTCACTAGAACTCCAAGAATTTCCTCATGAAGCTTGTCAATAGTGAGCACATTTTACGATATTTTCAATTAGAGTTATAGAGATTAGTGTTTTTACACATTTGAAATCATCAGTCAATCATTGTCTTTATAATTTAAAGAATACATAATAAGAAAATGCTCTAAAATTCATGTACATTGAACAAAAAGAGGTTTAAACAATGGAGTCAACTCAATTAATCAGTTCATAAGCAAATAATTTGATTACATATAGAAGTTAAAGTTGAAATTCAAATTTTATACCTGAAAAACATTGATAAAATTGAATTTCGATATTATCCTATCAAGTGTTATGATGTCTAGTCAGTCAGTCAGTCAGTCAGTCAGATGCAACGTAGAACTTCGTACGTAAGTGCATCAGTTCATGTCGCATACCACATCAGCACAAAGATATAATTGTCAATTCAAATCCAATAGTGGAAGAGGTAGCAAAGGTATCAGAAGTAATCGAAGAGGTTAGGATTAGAAGATATTATTCAAGAAGTATGATTCAGTGAGAAAAGTTTAGAAAGTCAAAACTAGAGTTGTTGAAGAATCCAGAAGATTAGGATTTGAGAGAACACAAAGAACGAATGCACCGGCGCCATTGCAAACGGTTTTGAGCCATGTCATTCAGGGTATCTAACCATCGATTATTATCGTTTCGCGGACCCCAAGCAGGTAGTCGACAACTACCGACATGTCTCAGTCCACTCGTCAATGACTTCATGGATTTCTGCCATGTTTTGGTCTGGCCGCCCCTAACTTTCTCCCAACCTACTCCTACCTACACTACAAAACAAAGCTCGACGAGGCAGTCGGTGGTTAGGCATACGCAACACATGTCCCAACCACCTCAACTGATGAAGTTTCACCACTTCATCTATTGACCTGCCATCCTTATCTAGCACCCGTTTCCTAATAACAGCGTCGCTCACTCGAGTGTCCAGGATACACGAGCAATGCTTCGGATACACCTATGATCAAAAACCAATAACCTACGAATATCTTCTACTCTCACTGGCCATGTTTCACAGCCATAAAGTAAGACGGAGCGAACTAGTAATATCAGGGAAATGAAAATATTGAAAATATGACCAATTCACAAAAGTCTTTATATGTGCATAATTTTGAGATGATAGAGAAAATTTGTAGCTCAGGTGGATGACTGCAGTAGTGTTTCGTTCTCCAAGCTGGATATTCAGCTCAGACAACGAAACACTACACACAATGTGCATAGTTATCTATAATTTTTTGAAACAATAACTCATATTTGAAAAAAAAAAGAAGAAATGTTGTAAAACATACCCTCTCTGTCCTGAAACTGAAGTATCACATAAAACTTCATATTCACTTGAACTCTTCTCTTCTCCACCATATGGATAATAACATGTTTTATATCGATGTACAACTTTCCCGGGTTCCCAATGATTATTATCATGTTTACAACGAACTACACTAATTCCTTCATCAATACTAATAGCATTTGAAGGAATATGTCCATCTTTCACTGGTATCCATGATAATGGGATTTGAATTCCTTTGCCTATTTTAGCCATCGATGAATAGATGTTCTTAACTGAAAAGTACATATATGATACAATGTGTGTGATCAATTAAGCTAAATCATATTGATGAACATGTTGTAATAAGCATTATCAACAAGGATGAATGTTGATAGTACGATTAGATTTAACGAATTAAAATTAGAAATACATACGCTGCCTCATCGGACGACGCCCGACATGGGGCTCAATCCCAAGATCCTGAGATTAAGAGTCTCATGCTCTACCGACTGAGCTAGCCGGGCTCGCTTAAGGTAGCCAAATGCCTCGTCATCTAACTGAAGGGATATATTAGGTGAGGCGCATAAGTGGAGCCTTCTGCGGGGTTATGGTGATGGCTACCTCTTCATGGTCCCGCTAGGCAACGTGGCAGTGGATACATCGCTGCGGCCAAATGCCGTTCCGATCGCTTAGGATACCGTGCCTAGCATGGTCCAGAATAATGGCACGTGTTCATGGCCACAAGGCTGTGGATGTGGTTGACCACTCTAGGGGATTACGACTGAACGCCTCTAGATCTAAATCCCGTCCATTGAGCGTAGGTAAATTCCGATAATGTAATAGCAAATACTTTGGAAGGGATGTAGCTTTCTGAGATGAGTGAAGGCGGCCCTGGTCGTTCTCTTTTGGGGAGGCAGCCGTAGACATCCTAGACTATAGACGCCAACCCTATTTGTTTATCCCTTACACTCTGCACCTGATGTAGTGTGTGAACTGGCGTCGAGGCACCCTAAACAAGGGTCTCCAGTTGGGTCCCGGTGCTTTAGTGCTGAAAGGGTACTGAACACCAATGATGTCTGCCCACTTCTGTGGGATGAACCCTGCTTGGCTGAGCGCTTGCGTTTCGTCGAGTCCATGATATCTTCCTCATGGAAAGGTGTACGTTTTAGCCGACCTTGTGCGACAAACTCGATCTTTAGCTTCATGTGGGGTTTTGGGGACTCCGGTTGACTGTTCAGTGCAGGGCAGTTGGAGGCCAGACGGTTGGAACGGCTGCTGGTTAGTGCACTACTTGGGTGGCTCGGTAATCCGCTTCGCGGTGGCATGTCCGGATGGGTAAGCCCGCCTTGCCGCCCTTGCCGATTGGGGATTGTGGGCTGTGGTTTGTTTGGTGGGATTTCTTGATTCATAAGTGCCCGAGCGGGGGCCACTGTTCGTGTGCGTATTTTTTGGATGTCCAACTTGTCTGCGGACCAACCCCGACAACAACATGTATGTTCCCGATTGGGGCAGGGGTGATTACTGTTGGCTAAAATGAGAATCCTTGTGTTGCCTAAAAAGCAGCGATGTACATGTGCAGCAGGCCTGTTGGTTGACCATGTCTAGTAATACATACCGATGAAATTCAACTCAATAGTTTGATAGCTAAGAACTTACTTACTACAAGGTTTAAATATTCTTACGTTTTAACACTTTAAGGACATGGGGTTAGCGACCTCATCCAGTAGAAAACTAACTCACCAAAAAAGAAAAAAGACGCTAATCAGATAGATAGTCGACCACTTATGTTCCATTGGAGTTAACAGGTGTAAGTAAGCAAGTAAGAGAGTATTATCGAGATATATTTCCAACCAACTAGGACGTAACAATTACGCACTGTTTCTATGTTCGCATTAACTGTTTTAATTAAGATCAGTTTATGGTGTAAATCGACTGGAAATATGTACTTAAATAAACACTATTAGTGAACTAGGAAATGTTTATTATCTGTAATTACCAAGTCACATGGACAAGCATCTACTTCATTTATATATATAAGTATATAAGTAGTATCTACATGGAACAAGTTGATATACATAAATTTATGTGCTTAACTAATTGTTTTATCATTCATTACTTTGAAAACGTTTCTACTGACATATAAAAATTAAAAACTTATTAATCTTAGTCTCAAAGTTGAAAAGTTCAGTAGTAATGCGATAACAAACATTTTACAAATAAGTACACAGAGAGAGAATGTTTTCATATGTAAGCAATATTTGTTAAATATTAATACTAGTCAAAATATTAAATTAAAAACTAGCTAGTACTAGATAACATTCACTGCGGAGTTTAGAGATCTTACTTACTCTCGACCCCTAGAAGTGTGCATCAACGTAGTATAACATATTGGGATGAAAAAGTTGCCAAGTCAGTCAGTCAGTTACAACATAGAACTTCATACGTAAGTACATCAGTTTATGTTGCCATACCACATTAGCACAGAGATGCAATTGTGAATTCAAATCCCATAGTGGTAGAGATAGTAGAAGCATTAGCGGTAATGCAGAAGATTAGTGTTCGAAGATATTATTCAACAAGTGTATTTCAGTGAGATAATTGTAGAATGAGAAAGATACAGACGATCAGGAATTCAGAAGATTAGAATTTGAGAGAATACAAAGAGTGGATGCGCCTGCGCCTGCGCCATCGCAAACCATTTTGAGCAATGTCGTTCAACGTCTCTAACCATCGGTTACTTTCGTCTCACCGACATCAACCAGGTGATAGCCTACATCTACCAACATCACTCAGTCCACCTGTCAGTCACTTCATGCATTTCTGCCATGTTTTGGTTTGGCCGCCCCTAGCTTTCTTCCAACCCACTCCTACACCACAAAACATAGCGCGACGAGGCAGTCCGCCAATGGCCATACATAACACATGTCCCAACCACCTCAACTAATGAAGTTACAATACTTCATCTATTCACCTGCCATCCATATCTAGTACTCCATTTCTAACTATAGCATTGCTTACTCGGTCGTCCCAGGATATACCAGCAGTGCTCCGAAGATATCTACAATCCAATACCAATAACTTACGAATGTCTTCTACTCTTACCGGCCATGTTTCGCATCCATATAGTAGGACAGAGCTGTAAGATCATACGAACCTCACTACTCTCCACATCACACACACAACATTACACTACACAATCCATAAACAGACCACCAACACAACACCATCAAACAACTTACTCATCAACCACAATCACACATCTCACCCACTCACAACTCACCAATCGTCACCATCATAACAACACACCATTCTCACTAATCACTCACACCTCACATGTCGGTCTGTGCGTGTGCGCACTCTTTCACAGAGGCCAACACAACAACACAGATCAACATCAATTTCGCAAGGAGATTAGTATTCCATGGGACAACAACCAGGAATGTGGTGCTCTTGCACAACAATCACCTCAACTAACAGACAAACCCTAACAACCACCCATACACACACACACACAAAACCGACGAAATATCACCTGCCACACTACATCAAACCAATGACAGACACTCAACAACACCCAATAACACACTACATTCACAACAACTCTACACACCTCAAACACAAAAATCCAACAACTGAATTACCAGCCCACAACACACTAACCAAACATCCACCGACTTCTCCACACACACCCAATAACACCTCATTATCAAAACGCAAACTGCACTCCAAAATCACCAAACCATTATTCTGTCCCCATCATCCATCACTCGTCATACACACGCGCATACAACCAGTGGCAACATCAATCAGACAGTCAATCAGTCAGGTACTACGTACAACTGTGTACGTATGTACATCAGTTCAGGTTGCCATACCTCATTAGCACAGAGACGCAACTGTCAATTCAAATCCCATAGTATTAGAGATAGAAGCATTAGTGGTAATTAAGAAGGTTAGAGTTTGACGATATTATTCAAGAAGTATAATCTAGTGAAATAAACTTAACAAGAGAAAGAGAAAGGTGATGAGGAATTCAGAAAATTAGGATTTGATAGAACACACCGAGTGGATGAACCTTTGCCATTGCAAACGATTGTGAGCCATGTCATTCAAGGTCTCCAGACATCGGTTACTATCATCTCATGGACCCTAATCAACTGCTCCTTACTTTTTAATATTACACCAACTGACATGTGTACAATCACTAAATTAGAACCACTTCCTATAATACCTCATCAATAAAATAAAATATTGAATACAAACCTATTAAATTTTATTTTAAAATGTCATTAAATAAACAGAAACATTATTTAAAAAAATATCAAATGTTCAAAACTAATTCCACATACCTTTTTTTCGTTTATGGTACTCACGCAAAAATCTGTACAGTAATGCACTTCTTATATAATAAATTCCGGTTAACTGTCTGTCTAACAATCACAATACCCCACATGATTATTAATTTTAAAAAACAAGAAAATAACGGAAGTTTGTCTAAATGACTCATTATTATTACTATTATTATTATTATTATTATTATTATTATTGTCATTATTAATTAGTAAACAGTTTCAATTTTTTTTCATCACACACCTGTGTGTAATAATTTAGTGAATTTACTTCATATATAGAGAAGCCAAAACACACATAAGTAAGTGCTGACACACACACACACAACACACACACAAACATTACAAGTTAGTGGTGTAATTAATTAATTAATAGTTTTGTTATTTTTTTCACAAAAAAATTATTATTTCATGATAGAATTTTGAAATTGAACTTATTTTTGTTTTAATCAATGAAGAAAAAATGGCGACTAATTTAAATAGCTCGTTACACATTTGTTGAAATCTTCAGTTAGAAACAAAATCAGAATATTAACCTTTTATTAATTAGACTACTCATTTCATTACATAAAGTAAAACCTTATCTCAAATTAGACTAGAGTTTTATGAAACACATTGCGTTACTAGATAAAGATGACGTGTTTATTATGAGTCAGAATAACACATAAATAAATTCGTTGGCTAAACTTTTTAAAATTGTACATAATGTCTCCGGGAAATTAGAATCAACCATAAATTTGATATCATGCATGAAATGGTTGTGAAAATTGTTGAGTCACTTTTTGAAATCATTGTAGTGAAGGAGAACACAGGTGAGGGCAACCGAATTGTATTTATCGAAAATTACAGAGTTAATCAGTAAAATCGGAAAACCATATCGTAAACGGTTAATTTGCACATCTTCAATCCCTCATCAATCCATTGTCTGACATTTCACTATTCATGCGTTTCATACAAATTTCATTGTGTTCCCCCCACTCTTCCTTTCTTGATCGTCCCCATTTTCTGCTGCCAGACATTACGTTGACACTCACGTCATATACTACTTATAAGTAGCTCGCACCACATTATGAATAGAATCAAATGTTAGATCACCAGCAAAAAGCCTAGAAGCACTGGACAGCTGTCAAGTCATGGTATGGGACTCGTGAGCAGTACACATCCATGACTCCTGTACCTCACAGGATTCGAACCCAGGACCTTCAGTCTTGTGTGCGAACTGTCTGACTTCATGACCACTATTCTGGCATCTGACTGGGTTATATTCGATCGATCTGTGGTCTTGCGCAACCTTATTCACTGTCTTCGGTCAAAATTGCTTCACTTTCGAACATAGTTTAACTCCACTTGTCCAGACTTCTCACTAATAATCGGAGAAAAGTTTTCTCGAAGCTAGACACAAGTGAACACGGGTTTTTGAAGATTGTTGAGTTACTTTTTAAAATCATGAATCAGTCTTGCAAGACCGAAGGTCTTGAGTTTAAATCACGTGACTAGAGGCAGTCATTGATGTGTATTGCTTACGGGAGCTATACCAGGATAAAACAACTATCCAGTACTTCCAGATTTGTAATTACGGTGTAACATTAGTCTTTTTCGAACTGAATGCCAAGGTTGGAATGCACAACACTGGATATGAAGACATCATGGGACGACATGGACTGGGAGAAAGGAACGAAAACGGTAAGAGATTTGCAAACCTATGTGCCTTCAACAAACTGGTCATCGGTGGCACAATATTCCCGCACAAACGCATGCACAATGCTACATGGATTTCACCGGACCACACTACTCAAAACCAAATTGACCATATCTGTATCAGCAAAACGTTCAGAAGGTCAATTGAGGATGTGAGAACCAAGAGAGGAGCTTATATAGCATCAGATCACCACTTGCTGATCGCCAAAATGAAACTGAAACTAAAGAAGCACTGGACAACGGGGCAGACAACATCAAAGATGGTGGAGAAAATTTGTAGCTCAGGTGGATGATTGTGGTGGTGTTTCGTTCTCTGAGCTGGTTGTTTTGGTTGTGAAGCTTTCATTGTTCTTCTGAACAACATCATCTGAAGTTCGTGCTGATGATGTTGTTCAGAAGAACAATGAAAGCTCCACAACCAAAACAACCAGCTCAGAGAACGAAACACCACCACAAACATCAAAGATGTTTAAAACAGCCTTTCTTCGGGATACCGTAAAACTCAACGAATTCAAGACAGCCCTCAACAGCATCATCGACAATCAAGGTGGATCCGATGCAGATGTGAGGGTGAGCATTGGCAAAACAAGGGCTGCATTTCTGCAGTTGAAAAATATCTGCAAGTCCAAACAACTTTCAACCAAAATCAAAATCACGATTTTCAATACAAATGTCAAGACAGTTCTACTGTATGGAGTGGAAACTTGGAGAACTACGAAAGGCAACATCCAGAAGATAGAAGTGTTTATTAACAGTTGTCTACTCAAAATACCTCGGATTCGTTGGCCAGACACCATCAGCAACAACGAACTGTGGGAGAGAACAAACCAGATTCCAATGGAGGAGGAAATCAGGAAGAAGTGTTGGTGGAAGTGGATAGGACACACACTACGAAAAGCACCTAACTGCGTCACAAGACAAGCCCTCACATGGAACTCTTAAGGTCAAAGGAAAAGAGGAAAGTCAGGAAACACATTACGCCGAGAAATAGAGAAAGATATGAGAAGAATGAACAAAAATTGGACAGAACTGAAGAGGGAAGCCTAGGACAGAGTTGGTTGGAGAAAACTGGTAAGCGGCCTATGGTCGATAGGAGTAACAGGCGTAAGTAAGTAAGTGCATAAGTAAGTAAGTAAGTAATTAGTCTTCTTCATTATTATAATTATTACTCTTATCAGATAAGAATATGGAAATTTGTTAAAACTCTTCTTTATAGCATTTACACCATTCATTGATATCGTGTTTGTCATTATTATTATTATTATTACTTGTATACAAAAAATATGAATTTTAAATCATACGATGTGAATGTCTGTTTTTAAACAAAATAGTGTGTTTTTTAAAATAAAAAAATTATAAAAACTAACAACACTCTGACCTAATTGTTTTTTTTGTTATTTTCAGAATAATATTGTAAAAACAAAACGAACAAAACACTAAAGAATTTTTAAAAAATTAAGAAATCTTTTAAAGAAAATATTTTTTATAAACATAGTAGTACAAGTAAACAAATTAGTTCATTCTTACTTAGTGTGAATATTAAAATTTGTAAAAAGAAAACTACATACACACTGTTTATTTATTACTGGTTTTATATGAATCACATTTTAACGTGTTATTTATCGTATGTTGACCAAAAGAAACTGTTTATTACTGAGTTGATCATGAGTTGATCACATTGTTAGATCAGTACTATTAGAAACCTGGAAACCCTAGACGGCTGTTTTGTTTTAGTCTAGGGGTTGTAAGCTGAGCCTTCAAGTTACAGAGTTACTCAGTAAAATAGGAAAACCATATCGTAAATCGTTCATTTGCAAAATATCAATCCATCATCAATCCATTGTCACTATTCATGCGTTTCATACAAATTCCATTGTGTTCCCACTCTTCTTCCTTTCTCTTGATCTTCCGCCATCTTCTGCAGCCAGACATTACGTTTTTTACTAGCGTCATATACTACTTATAAGTAGCTCACACCACACATTGAACAATGAATGAAATCTGTTTTCTGTTCACATTGATTCCTAGTCTATTATTATTATTATTATTAGACTGATGACCTCCGTCATGAGACTGAGTTTTGGCGCCAAATGGCCTTGAAATGTATGGAATATTAATTGATACACACAGGTCATCATGAACAAAACAACTTGTATAGTAAACAACAACAACAAAATAATGACTAAATAGTCTGGTTTGAACATACTGAATAATATTGAACATTGACTAAGAATCTAATCTTCATTATGAACAAAGCATACACTTCAATATATAAATTAGTATTCTCGATTTCAAAATATGAAATAACAAATACAGCATGCTATAATATTTGACTAAACAGAACACTGACTTGTTTGTTTGAAAAAATTGACCTCCATTTTTAGATTTTCTGGAAATAATCTGTTTTGTTTTTGATAATGGAACCAAGTTTATTTTTTAGTGAGTAAACGAAAATACGCCAGTTTATTTGTCAGGATTCTTTTTCAAGGAACTAGTCAAAATGAAAATTATCCAATATAAATATGGTTTATCAAACAACTATGCATTGAATCACTGCCCAATTAAATTGAATGCGTACTGCTGATGAGTCCAATATCACGACGAAATGGCCGTTCAGTGCTTTCAGGTTTCTAATGGAAGTCAAACAATGATTGATTGATTGATGATTTCAATGTGTATTGAAATGTTCAATTCTCAGTATGGAGTTATGGATACAGACTTGTATATCAGTGATCCTGTGCTTACCAGTGAATGGTTTTGAGAAGAGATTTGTTTATTCCCAGAGAGTAGCCTTAATCGGTTATGTTTAAACATGTGGGGCGTGAGAAACCTACCAGTTGAAGAAAGTGAAAGATGATCACGTATTATTTCACGCTAGTTAGGCATTTATTTTATCATTATTACTCACAAATTTTATAGGTTCATGCAAAAACAGTATATGAAAATAACTACAACAAAAGAACTTCAAAAAACATTTTGCTATTAATATTTAACTACTGACTACTTTGTTAGTAGCATAATGTATTTCACAAAATATTTGCCCAATTACTAAATGAAGTAGAAATAGAAAATATATGTAAACAACACAGAACAAAACTCCATGAATCCTACAGCATATATGACATAATTTTGAAAACTAGTTAATACAATCATTTCTCCCTATAGTACTGTCAAACTGCTTTGATCTCTGGAATCTTTTATTCCCTTAACTCGATAACTGAAACAGAAATATACAATTCATTGAGAAACTATATAAGTTTTCTAACCTGCAATACCTCTAGATTATTAATTAGTAACGTATATGACTCTTTTAACAGATGCGCATCAATGGATTT